TAATCCTTCCTCTGGCACAAAAGGTTTGCCGAAATGTGGGGCATTGGGCTTCTCCCCAGAGCACAGAATAAGTCTTCAATCTAAAGATATTTTTATATTAAAGAATGGAGATATCCAGTGACATCTGAATTATATAAAATTATTATCTTATTTTATTAAAATGCTATTTATTAGACTCAGAATCAAATTTGCTGAGTAGAGGATAATCATAAATCTGTTCTACAGCAAATTATTCCAGACAGAGTTGGCTATAAATTGTTTGCTTCACAAATATGGCAGCCTCAATAATCAGAACAAATAGACTCTGAATCTAGAAAATAAGCACTTCAATGCAACAGCAATAATTACTTAAATCTGAGATATCACCAGTATTTAGCAGTAAAGCATTTTCTAAGTGTGAAGGTACCATTCGCTCACAGTTGACATTTATTAGTAAACTGATTTTTTTCTGGTTTTGAAGATGAATTCATGCCAGAACAATTAAATTTACTTTCCCAACAGAGTAACACAGATATTGATAAGAGAAAACGAATAGATGTAATCTCATATTATCAATATATAATTAGTTTCTTTTATCAAGAAGCCTAATAAATATGGTGCTCTGGATAATTAAACACTTTTATTAGCTTAGAATCATTATGTAAAATATACCAGAATGATCAATTATCAAGCAATTCTGATAGGTAGCATCAACATTTACCTGTGTATCTTTAGCTACTAGTGCAGGACTTGACACTAGGCCTTTATTAAATGTTTATTAAATGCTAAATATGAGTAAGGCTTTTCTGGATAGCCAGAATCTCCAAAATATTGCAATTATTCTATCATTTTACAAAGAATTTCCACTGGCTAAAAATATAAAGTAAAATAGGGGTTGAATTTATATCGAACATATGGTCTACTGTTGAAACTACATAGTGAAATAAAGTTTCTGGGTTTAAATTTGTTAAAAATCTTTATTTCTTATACTTTATTACTATTTGTAAACATATCTCTGTTCTTTTGTGACCTCAATAGAGTTGAATGCTGGATAAATCTGTATTTATGATTTTTTTTCTGATATAAGGTCTCTTTAAGATCTGGGAATCATTTGTGGGGCGTTTCCTGTGTTTTTGGCATTTTCCTTGTCTTTAGTGAGACTTTTGTAACATTTGAAAGCACTACACTTCATACTCTCCTGGGACATACAGGTTGCAGTGAAGTGTATTCGCTAAGTTCAGAAGAGTCACTCACCAACTATCAAAATGTCCTCAGAACTCCCGTCCATTTTAACAGCGTCCTAGTGAAAAAACAGAGCTGGCAAAGGAAATGCCAAATTTGGCTGTAGCAGCCCCCTAAGATTTAATCTCCAGGAAAGAGTGTCCAAAATTTCAGTCACTCCTGAGGTTTTTCATATCCTTTATCTACTATTAGTTCCCTATTCCTTTTTTAAAATCAAATCACTTCTTAATTTTAAATTAAATTTTTAAAAAGAAATATTATAACATTATCATAAAAAGAGACTAAGGTCACTGTCATTAATTGAAGTAACCATACAAATAAATACTCTGTAAAAGGTAATATTTTATGTATATACCATTAACTATGACAGTTCCATGTGTGAGTCCTGCTCTCTCTTTGTTGAAAAGTAACATTAGTGAATGTTAGGGCACAGTAAAGACCTAAGAACATCAAACATCCACTTAGACAACCAGAAGTATAACAGAGACTTGAGTCAATGTTATTTAATTCCATGACCACTGATGCCTAAAATTATCTCAAGTATCACCAGTTGTACCCACAATACACCCTGGAAATACTGCTCTAGGTGAAAGCCTTTTAAGGCCACCCAATCAGTCTTAAAGTACCTTGTAATGCACCAAATTATAGCTTCCATATAGCAGAAAGTAGCGCCAATTCCATTTTTATTCTTCCTTTTTTCCTCATACTGGCACGCATTGTTCCCATCTTCCCTAAAGAACAAAGGTCAAAGGAGCCCAGAGCTCAGCACTGTTTAAGGGGCTGATAATATAGGTACAAAGTAAGGGCTGAGTAGGTGATCATTGTCTCATATGACATTACCATCAACAAATGAGACTAAATTATAAGCCAGTAAATGAGAACATCAATTTAGGAAAAAAGTTAGCACAGAATTTCTAATGAATCTGACCTTCACATTTTAGAAAATCATCAAAGCAGGTTTTTAAAGAATAGCACAATGAACTATATTTTAATATCTTGGATAATATTAAGGAAACCGACAATATAAAAATATAAAATTATTTTTCATTTCATTATTTTCATTTCTAACAAATAAATTATTTTTCATTTACTAGGATAGCGTTCAGTAGGAGTAAATATAAAGTGATACAGTATATATAAAGAGAATATAAAGTGAACAACAAAAGAGCAAAAGCAAAAAATATACAAATTTAGTAAAATACTTTAAGAACAAATACAACAGGAAAAGCCGTAAAGTCAAAGAAAATCCCAAGAAAGAAATGAATAATTAGTACGATGCTCTATCTGAAAGTCGTACTTGCAAATGAAACTGTAGTGACGAGATCATGCTGTATAACTAAGAAATAACTTGTTTTGCTCAATAGTGGTTAGATTCTTATTATAACATGAATTCAATTTTGATCTTTGAATTTTAAACAAGTAGGAGCAAAATTGTCAAAGAAAGGGAGCTAATGTGAATAAAGACATAAATTGCATTCCAGGAAGAGAAGAAAATGGAGTTGGCATGATTTACTGTTGAATCTGAGGAAACCCTGTCTGAAACCAAATTTAATCCTTTCTAAATTTGTTTCTATACTATTTGTCTTTCTAACTTAATTCCCCAAGATGCAAATGAAAATGGAAGGAATTTCACCTTAAAATTTCTGATACTCCACTAGGTGAAAAAAATCGATAACAGTTTTACTAATATTCAGAGAAAATAAATGGAAAATATGGCTCATTAACAAATTAATTCTCACGTAAACACATCAAGAAATGCAAATGATAACTGTAAGGCAGAATCATTAGTAAAATATATCTGCCATGAAAATAACATAACTCCTATAATTATAGTGTATAACTGTTTAATTATCTATGTTGGAAGAATAGAAAAAACTGTATTGCTTATAAAATTTATTGCTCTCATTGTTATTACTACAGTATTACAAAAGGGTGATAAAGCATCATTCTAATTCTGTCTGCACCAGTCCTTCAATGGTAAGTTAAAGCTCTGAACTTTAAGAACTTCATAGGCAAGGCAAACGATCCTAAAGATGTTTTTAGCTTTATGGAGCAAGTAAAATATGGATAAATTAAATAAATTCAGTCAGTGTTAATTGAATTTACTGTAGATACAGCTTGAGAGAAAAGAATTTACCTTGCAATCTAGAAAAACTCCTTTGATATAAGATGTCATTTCTCTTCTTCTGAATATCCATCAAATTTGTGCCAGAAACTTGAATGTATTACAAGTTTTAGTCAATGACACTTGTATTAGCTATCTATTACTGCACAACAAACTATGCCTGAACACCATCTTGAAACAACAATCATTTATTCTCTCTCACAGCTTCTGTGGGATAGTAACTAGAGAGTAGCTTTGAGCAATTCTGGCTTGAGTTTCACAAGGTAGCAGTCCCTAGAGACTGCAGCTGGGGCTGCAATCAGCTCGAGGCTTGATGGGTCTGGAAGATGCATTTATAGGTGGCTCACTCGCATCGCTGGCAAGTTGGTGAGGGGCTGTTGGAAGATTTTCTCCACTGGGTCTCTCCCCAAGGCTGCCTGATTGCTCTCACAATGTGATGGCTGGCTTCCCCCAGAGAAAGTAATCCAAGAGACTATCAGGTGGAAGCCACAATATCTTTTACTACCTAGCCTTGGAAATAACACCATCACTTCCACTGTGTTCTATGAGTCATACAGTTCAGCCCTAACTGAGAGAATGGTCCACCCAAATGCTTGAATACAAAGAGGCAAGGATCATTGGAGTCCATCTTGGAGACTGGCTGTCACAATACTTACAATATGTTGGAATAATTTCAAGCACAGACATTATTAGATTTTAAAAAATGAATTTCTATATTCTAGAAGAAATCTCAAAGTTTTATTTATAACCTGAATCTACGCACTCAAATTTCTCACTGCCCTCCAATTAAGCTGGTTTCTTTGCTATCTCTTAAATATGGCATCTTTATTTCCTACCCTGTACTTTTGTTCATGTTTTCCCCCATTTTTTTATTTAATAAAACTCCTAGAGAACATGGATAATTTTTCTTTCTTTAAAGCTCAACTGAACTTGTTCCATCTGCATGAAGCCTTATTTATTAGTTCTATCTACAATGACGACGCTTTCCTCAAAGTCCTATATATATAATTCTTAAGCCACACAATTGAACACTTAATGAGTCCTTTTTACTCACTTAACATGGCCAATAACTTAATGCCTATTATGTGCTATGGCTGTGCTAGGTTATGTTAAAAATAATCATTTATTTTCCTTATCAATCCAAAAAATTCACTTATATACTTTATATTCATGATGCTAATATTTAATATATTTTCAAGTATATTCTCCAAATTGTCAAATGTAAGTTGCTTTTTTATGTCCCCAAGTGTACATTTTGAGTGCAGAAAAGGTTTTTAAGAGATTAATTTGGTTTTGGAAGTTAATTCTAGGTTTTTTAATTCCAGAATAAAAAATCTATTTCTCCCCTAAGCTTTTAAGTTCAGTTTACAAGTATTATTATTTATTTATTATATAGCAAATTTAGTAATCATTTTAGGGGCCCTTTGCCATTTAATCCCACTTATATATTTGGTTAAACTTCCTTAAGTATTTTTTTAAAACTCTATTCATAGGTTGAAAATAGTTAACATATACCAGTTTGCCTGCCCTTTAGAGTTTTGTAGAGCTATATATGCAAATATGAGAGATTTGTGTGTGAAAATACTTTGTAAACTCTCAATGAATACACGAATGTGGCATTATTGGTACTAATTTGTAAAGTCAGATGTGTTACCATAGTCCTCCAGAGGACTCAACACTGTCCCAACTCCTGACAGCCTGTCTGAACTCCCAAGCAGCATAGCGAACAAGCTCCAGGCTGGACTTCAGGAGACAGGTTCGTCTCAAGAAGAGGATCCGGTGGAAGCCAGAGATCTGGGGTGCACTGCTAGCCATGAGGACTTGTGGTCCGCCTTCAGTCTTGTGGGACAGACTTACACATCAACCTGTGCATATCAAATTACAGATGATGAATGCCTCAGACTGCTAAAAAATTTACACGTAGTAACATCTTACAGAAAGCTATCTCACTATTTGGGGACAAACCTGAGCAGAGGCAAGTCTTACCTGGAAGTCTTCTGACCTCAAATAAGTAAAGGGGGAAGACAACTTAAATTCAAGAGAATAAGAGAATGAGATTGAGAGGAAATCGATAACAGCTAAATCAAATCTTAAAAGTATGTGGTGTGTCTTCCCTATTCATGGAGGATTTGTTCTAGAGATTCAGGGGAAATGGACAACCCACAAATAGTGTGTGATTAATGACAATAGAGGTTTATTTGCTAAAAAGAGATTGCTCTTATCACAAAATGCGTCAGAAGGCTGCTGACATTTCTCTTCATGGTTTTCTTTTCTTGGTATTGCTTAAGGTTTTCTGATTAGAACATTCAGCCTCTGTTATGCACTAATCACTGCTAAGACCTTGAAGACTCTTATAATCTCTACCCAATAAAATGTCTTATTTCCCTTTTAATACATCCTAGCTTAAATTTTAAGTTTCTTAAGCTTGGGATCTGCATTTTATTTATTCCTCTCAATTTCTGTTACAATTACAAGAGGTAATATAAACAGAAAAGTATAAAAATATAAATATACATCTAATGAATAAATAAGAGCCAGAACCTGGTATAATTATGACCCAGATTGAGAAAGGGAAAATTACCAGCACTGCAGGAGTTCCTTGGGAATGTTCTATGAATTACATCCCTCTTCCTCTGCTCTGGAGGGAGCCCACAGCTAATCTGACATATGGGAACCTTTTCTAGCCTTTCTTTGTATATTCACTGTCTATGTGCACATCTGAACATAGTAGAATTCAGATTTGACTATTTTTAACTTTGTGTAAATGGCAATATATTGTAGGTATTTTTTGAGTGTTGCTCAATATTATGCTTAAGATTTGACATTTTATTGATTATAGCTACAATGGCATGTTCATAGCAGAACTGGGACCCAGTCCTCAGTGGCAGTGGGGGCTGCATACAAATCTCCAAGCCTCTGGGGCCCTGGCAGCAACAGTGGTGCCAATGAACCCAGCATCATTGGCAGTGGTGCAACCAGCACCCCAAGAAAACCCAGGAGCAGCAGCACAGCTGGTGCATGCAGTAGCAGCATCCAAACCTGCGGAGAACCAGTGGAGGAAGACCAGACCCAAGTGCCCCTGGAAGCAGCAGAAGTGCTCACAGCCTGGTGACTGCAGTGACATCACCTGAGACTGCAGTGACATTCTAAGAAGAAGGTGCCAGAAACCCCAGAGGCACAAGAGACACAAGAAGGGCACTGAGAACGCCTTGGGCAGAGGCAGTGGAGGGCTGAAACTTCAGGCTCTAAAATAAAATCAGAAGCAGCTCAGAACCAAAGTAACAAAAGCAATACTCAAATAAGAAAAGGTGGTTACTACTACAAATGCACCAGCAGAGGATCGACTCATGAAACACCATGAAGAATTACAGTGACACAGTAGAACAGAAGGAAAATGACAACTATCCAGAAAACAAATTTGAAGTCACAGAAGATTACAATATAACTGACAGACAATTCAAAATGGCCATCATAAAGAAATTCAATGAGTTACAAGAAAACTCAGAAAGGCAGTTCAATGAGCTCAGGAATACCATTAATAGACAGAAAGAGTACTTCAACACAGAGACTGAAACTGTTAAAAAAAATCAGAAATTCTGGAGATGAATAACACAATTAATGAGAAAAATAATGTAGAAAGCATAAAAAAGTAGAGCATATTTTATGGAGGAGAGAATTAGTGAGCTCAAAAGTAGAAACCTAGATTCAATTCAGGTGGAGGAGGGGAGAGAATTAAGACAAAAAAAAGTGAAGAAATTCTTTGAGAAATATCAGACTTAATTAGGAAAAGTAACAGAAGGATTATAGGTATCTCAGAAGGTGGAGAGAGGGAGAAATAAGAAGAGAGCTTATTTAAAGAAAAAATAGTTGAGAACTTCCCAAACCTGGGGAAAGAACTAGACACACAATTACATGAGGCCAATAGAACTCCTAATTACATCAATGCAAAAAGATCTCCAAGGCTCATAATATTAAAGCGGTCAAAAGTCAATGATAAACTAAAAATATTAAGGGCAGCAAGAGAGAAGAAAATGACCTAGAAAGGAACCCCCTTCAGACTTTCAGTGGATTTCAGCAGAAACCCTACAGGCTAGGAGACAGTGGAATGATGTATTTAAAATACTGAAAGACAAAAACTATCAGCCAAGAATACTCTATCCAGTGAAATTATCCTTCAGATATGACAGAAAAATAAAAGCTTTCCCAAACAAAAGCTGAGGGAGTTTATCACCACTAAATCTACCTTACAAGGAATGATGAAGGGAGACCTCCTACTTGAAACAAAAAGGCAAAAGTTTAGAAAGCTTTGAGTGAGGAGATAGACAGAATCAGAATTTGCAGCTCTACATCAGAGTAGGTTAGCAAACACTTAGTTATAACATAAAAGAGAAAGAGAAAGAAAACATCAAAAACAAATATAACCATTTCAATTTGGTCACAAACTCACAATACAAAAAAGAATAATTTGCGACAACAAAAACATAGAAGGGGAAGAGGAAAAGGATGAAACCTGCATAGGCTAATGGAAATAAGAGGCTATCAGAAAAAGGACTACCTCATCTATGAGATCTTTTATATAAACTTCATAGTAGCCACTAAACAAAGAATCAGAGCAGAGTCACAAAAAATAAATAAAGAGAAAACTGAGAAAATCATCACAGAAAATCACCAAACCGAAATGGCAAACAGAAATACAAGGGAAAAGAAACAATGAAAATACAAAACAATCAGGAAACAAAAGATAAAATGACAGTATTAAGCCCTCACATATCGATAATCACTCTAAATGTAAATGGATTGAATTCACCAATCAAAAGACAGAGAGTGACCAGATGGATTAAAAACCAAGACCCAACAATATGCTGCCTCCAGGAAAGACTTCTCAGCTCTAAAGACAAACATAGGGAAGTGGGAAGCTCAGACAGAAGTGATGGAAAATGATATTCCAAGCAAATGGCAGCAAAAGAAAGTGAGTGTACTCTTACTTAGACAAAGCAGACTTCAAGATAAAAAAGATAACAAGAGACAAAGACGGGCATTATATAGTGTTAAAATGGCCATTCCACCAAGAAGACATAACGGTTTTTAACATACAAGCACAGAACACAGGAGCACCAAAGTACATAAAGCAACTATTAACAGACCTAAAGGGAGAAATTGAGAGCAACACAATAATAAGAACAGACCTTAACACTCCACTTATGTCAATGGATAGATCACACAGACAAAAAATCAACAGGAAAACAGTGGCCTTAAATGAAACATTAGATCAGGTGGACTTACTAGAGATATATAGAACATTTCATCTAAAAACAGCAGCATACACATTCTTCTCAAGTGAACATGGAACACTCTTAAAGATAGACCACATGTTTGGCAACAAAGCAAGCTTTGATAAATTTAAGAACACTGAAATCATATCAAGCATCTTTTCCAACCACAAAGCTATGAATCTAGAAATCAATTACAGGAAAAAAACTGGGAAAGTCACAAATATGTAGAGATTAAACAACATGCTACTGAACAACTATTTGACCAACAAAGAAATCGAGGGAGAAATCAAAAGATACCTGGAGAAAAACAAAAATGAAAACACAACATACCAAAAATTATGAGAATCAGCAAAAGCAGTACTGAGGGAACTTATAGCAATACAGATCTACCAAAAGAAACAAGAAAAATCACAAACAAACAAGCTCACACTATATCTAAAAGAACAAGCAAAAGGAGAACAAATAAAGCCCAACATCAGTAGAAGGAAGGAAATAATAAAAATCAAGGCAGAAATAAATGAAATAGAGACTATAAAAACAATAGAAAGGATCAGTGAAACTAGGAGCTGGTTCTTTGAGAAGATAAACAAAATTGACAAACTCTCAGTGAGACTCACTAAGAAGAAATGAGAGAAGATTCAAATAAAATCAGAAGCAAAAGAGAAGAAGTTATAATGGACATCACAGAAACACAAAGGATTATAAGAGAATACTATGAAAAGCTATATGCCAACAAACCAGAAAAACTAAAAGAAATGGATACATTGTTAGACTCCTACAAGCTTCCAAAACTGAATCAAGAAGAAATAGAGTCTGAATAGACCAATAACAAGAAAAGAGATTGAAACAGTAATCAAAAATATCCCCAAAAACAAAAGTCCAGGACCAGATGACTTCTCTGGAGAATTATATCCAAAATTCAGGGGCTGGCCTGGTGGCACAGCGGTTAAGTGCACATGTTCCACTTCGGCGGCCCGTGGTTCGCCAGTTCAGATCCCAGGTGCGGACATGGCACCCCTAGGCACACCATGCTGTGGCAGGCGTCCCACATATAAAGTAGAGGAAGATGTGCATGGATGTTAGCTCAGGGCCAGTCTTCCTCAGCAAAAAGAGGAGGATTGGCAGCAGTTAGCTCAGGGCTAATCTTCCTCAAAAAAAATTCAAAGACGATTTAATACCTATGCTTCCAAAACTGTTGTGAAAAATTGAAGATGACAGCTTGTTTCCTAACTCATTCTATGAGGTTAATATTACCCTGATACCAAAACCAGACAAGGACAACACCAAAAAGAAAAATTACAGGCCAATATCACTGATGAACATAGAGCAAAAATCCTCAACAAAATATTAGCAAATCAAATATAACAATATATTAAAAAGATCATACACCATTATCAAGTGGGATTTATTCCAGGGATGCAGGGATGGTTCAACATCCACAAATAAATCAGTGTGACAAACCCCACTAAAAACATGAAGAATAAAAATCACAAGATCATCTCAACAGGTGCAGAGAAAACCTTTGACAAGATCCAGCATCCATTTATGATAAAAACTCTCTATAATGGGTAGAGAAAGAAAGTACCTCAACATAATAAAAGCCATATATGACAAACCCACAGCCAATATCATACTCTACAGCTAAAACCTGAAAGCCATTCCTCTGAGAACAGGAACAAGACAAGGGCGCCGACTCTCACCACTCTTATTCAACATATAACTGGAAGTTTCAGCCAGAACAATTAGGCAGAAAAAAGAAATAAAAGGGGTCCACATTGGAAAGGAAGAAGTAAAACTGTCACTATTTGTGGACCACACGATTCTATTTATAGAAAACCCTGAAGAATGCACCAAAAAACTACTAGAAATAATCAACAAATACAGTAACGTTGCAGGGTACAAAATCAACACACAAAAATCAGTTGAATTTCTATACTCTATAATGAACTAGCAGAAAGAACTCAAGAATACAATCCCATCAACAATTGCCACATAAAGAATAAAATATCTAGGAATAAATTTAACCACGGAGGTGAAAGACCTATACACTCAAAACTATGACATTATTGGAAGAAATTGAAGAAGACATTAAGAAATGGAAAGATACTCTGTGCTTGTGGATTAGAAGA